TCTCTCTCTCTCTCTCCTCTCCACTCCCCCCCCCCTCCTCTCTCTCTCTCTCTTCCTCTCCATCCCCCCCCTCTCTCTCTCTCTCTCTCTGTATTTCTCTCTGCTCGGGCGCTATATATATGTGTGTACAAAATATGAACACTGAGTAATAAATAAAATTAAAATGATGAACTTATAGTCCCCTACACCACCTGCACGTAAAAATTAGGGACAAAACAAACTACTTTGGTAGAGTACATTAGTAGACAATGACATATGAATTTTGGATGAAATTTAACATTTTTATCGAAGACTTGGAATAGAGTCAGTCAGATAACCAGCAATGAAGATTTGCTTTTTATTTTAGGTCAAAAATGTAAAATTCAAGGACGTGAGACATAAAATAAGGACTTGGACCTATTTCCAATGACATCAATGACATAAGGAAAAATAAAGACTTTCAAGGGGTGTGGGGACCCTGTCGATTAATTGAACCATCAGCCCGTTCCCCCTTCCTCTTGTTCCCATACAGTGCTAACGAAGAAGATTCGTATTCGTTCTAAAGGGACGTTTGTATCTCACCAATGGGTAGTTAAACAGAAAATGATAAAAACACCAACACGAAATGCGTATTCACAGACGTCAAGAAATAATATTGCTTTTTCAATTACAACGTACATTTATTCGGTTCTAGTTGAGGAACTGCAACGAATCAAGAGTTTTCAACATGATACTTAGAAAGAGTTAACAGCGCCCAACTAACCATGCCAAACGTCAGCATTGCATCGCATATGTTGTCAACGAAGAAACAAGCTCACCCCAGAGATAACACTATCAGATATCATGGCACAATCTAGCTCTTTTTCATCACCTGATCGAATAGTGTTCCACTAATCTATCAACAAAAATTCTTCTTTAATTGACAACGGTTAAAAATCTGCATTAACTGAAAACTACAACTGCACGCAATGATCTCACGGTCGTGTGTGTCGACCAGTAGAGGGCAGCAGAGTCAACGACCTTGGCGAAGGTCGTACGAAAGATCAACACTTTGATTTCTCAGTACGGCTACTAGAAGCATTAGTCATTACATAGTACCTGCTCACGTCTGGCTGACTAGCTATATAACAAGTGGCAAGATATCAAAGCCTTATTTATTTATCGTTGCATGACAGTGCTGATGACACAAACTGGCTATCACTTATATATATATACGCGCATGCTTAACATCGTGACGACCTTGCCTTAATCACACCACCATATATACAGAATAATCATGGCTGCTCAAATCACATCGATAACACATTGCGAACTTCGCCTAACGATAACGATGACACCTTGCGAGGATACTCGACAACCAGGGGGCGCTGCCGTGATGCTCTCTTGTCGCGCTGGTCTCCTTTCCCAGACGACAGGACAACTATTAACTCTGTTCCGCTTAAGTGCGTGCTTCCACTTCTTGCCATCTCAACCGGAGCGGGTTACCGCTACCCAAGACACGGTGTCAGCAAATACTACTGTAAGAAGGGATGCCCTATACAAGCAGGAGAGCTAGATTTGATGGCGACACCCAACACGCGACAAGTAGGAGCCAACATACCCATCCCATCCACGAGGTGCCGCCACCGTACAGAGTACACAGGTAGAGACAGACATACACAGAGTGTCAATACTGTCTTCACCAATGTTGCCCCACCACAAGCACCACAACCTATGGTAGAAGGTAGGGTGCACGAACTTGCGCATACCGAAGTAAGTACTCATTGTAGGCGAACAATGAATGCTGTGGCCCAGGCGGCTAGGGTAACAATAGGCTATACGTAGGTAGAGCTATATACAGGATGGCTTCACCAGGCCACGTGACATGCCTGGAAGCTGACCGACACTTAACGACGAACTGACATTTAAGATTCAAAATTTTTCGGTTACCGCAAAGCACTTTGTATAAAATGCGGCAGCTGGAGGGAGCACGTACATCCGTATGCTCTCTCACACCTACACGCAGTCACCTCACACTTATCTAATCGCGTGACGATTCGTGCGGGCACCCGCGCGTACGCCAAATCGTCTTATAGGGAATCGTGTTACAACATCCACGTGCGTGCGTGCAGTCTGCATCGCAGGAGAATAACCAACGTAATGGCACCGTGGCAGGTTGCTACATAACACGGCTACACAGAATAGCTGCCAGTATAGATACTGCTAGGGAGTCAGGTAAGGGGGCAGGTATAGGCAGGGGAAACTGCGGGAAGTGAGAATGAACAAATCTAACCAGCCTCACGTATGAACGGCTAGTACAACTAGCACGGATGCACGTAATTATTATACAAGCAACTTTCACTGTCGAGTAGCTAGTAACTAGAATCACCTACACGCTGCATAGAAGCATACCTAAAACCTTACACAATACAGATGCCTGCAGAACAATGTACCAGTCACACACGCACGCACGCGCGCACGCACGCACGCACGCACGCACGCACGCACGCACGCACACACACCACCGGCAACACAAACTAAAAACGGAGCGTAATTACATCGTCTTAATTAAATACGTAGCAATATTTACAAAGAAAAAACTCCCGCTTGTGTTAAATATGGCCGCTCGCAGCATTATTTACATTGTAACACGCGCTCTATTCACAGCGGCTGTTGTAAATAAAACCTCTCTCTCCCATTGGTGCTGACGCAGCAGCAGCAGCAGCATGACTGGGCTCAGCCTCTTGGCTTCCGGATCCCGAGGGAGAAACTCCAAGGGAGGAAATCCGAGGGAGAAACTCGTACGGAGAAACTCCGAAGGGAGAAACTCTAAGGGAGAAACTCTGAGGGAGAAACTCCGAGGGAGAAACTCCGAGGGAGGAACTCCGCAGGAGAAACTCCGAGGGAGAAACTCCGAGGGAGGAACTCCGAGGGAAGATCCTTGAAGGAGAAACTTTAAGGGAGGAATTCCAAGGGAGAAACTCTGAGGGAGAAACTCCGAGGGAGAAACTCGTAGTACGGAGAAGCTTCCTATAGCGTGGATGCATACACCTCTACTTCTGCCAGCTGGTGTTCTGCATCCATGTAAATAGCCTGGTCCTTACTAGGTGTGGTTTACCCACAGATTCTATTAAACGAGGGTCGGTAGAGATATCGTCGTGGCCCGTAGTTTTATACTAGGGGCGATACAGCCGTCATCATGGCTTGATCGAGCTCAATGAACAGAAGAAGCCAAAACGGAAAGCTCGCTTTCGCAAATTTTGATCTTGTGCGACCGCAAGCAACTGAAGCTCCCCCTATGGGAAGGAACAGCTGACGAGTGAACGCCGCGCGTGGAAAAACTTGACGTTAACAACAAAAGTCGCGACGATCGTCTTAGCGTTACCAACCATAGGCTACCACGCATAATTCTGTGACCACAGGCTCACGCCAAAGCTCACTCACTCACTTTGTGATCGCACGTCGTTTGCTTAGCTACGATGCAAGTGCAGTTGCTTCGTCTGTGAAACTGCGTCACATCTAAATGCGTTATCTGCTCATGTGTGACACATGTACACGCGTTGTCTACGTCGTGTGCATAATCTAACGTGGGTACACGTCTGGGCAGTCTCAACTCGTGTGCCTGTGTCTCAATTTGTGTATGCGTGTCTCAACTCACGTAGACATGTCTAAGGTACACACGTCTCGTGTACCTGGTCTCGATTCATGTACATGAGCCTCAACTCGTGTACGTGTGTCTCATGTAGCCCTGTCTCAACTCGTGTACACGTGTCTCGCATAGCCCTGTCTCAACTCATGTACACGTGTCTCGCGTAGCCCTGTCTCAACTCGTGTACACGCGTCTCGCGCAGCCCTGTCTCAACTCGTGTACATGTGTCTCGCATAGCCCTATCTCAACTCGTGTACATGTGTCTTGCGCAGCCCTGTCTCAACTCGTGTACACGTGTCTCGCATAGCCCTGTCTCAACTCATGTACACGTGTCTCGCGTAGCCCTGTCTCAACTCGTGTACACGCGTCTCGCGCAGCCCTGTCTCAACTCGTGTACATGTGTCTCGCATAGCCCTATCTCAACTCGTGTACATGTGTCTTGCGCAGCCCTGTCTCAACTCGTGTACACGTGTCTCGCGTAGGCCTGTCTTAACTCATGTACACGCATCTCGCGCAGCCCTGTCTCAACTCATGTACACGTGTCTCGCGTAGCCCTGTCTCAACTCGTGTACACGTGTCTCGTGTACCCCGGCCGCTCCCCGCTGGTCGGCGTTAGCCCTCCGTTCGGTTCCACCGGGCTCGTCGAATCTCGCGATGGCGTCTCGGGCGTCACGGGCCGCCGCTGCGGAGTCACGCGGCCCGACCGACGCTCGCCGCCGACCTTCAGCTGCGCGGAGGCGCCCCCTGGCGGGCTCATCGCGCGCGGCAGGAAGTCCGGGTACTCGGCGTCCGCGGCGTAGTCGTGGCGACCGGCGAGGCTCGCCGGCATCGCGACGAACGGTACGATGGTCGCCGGCGGACTCCCGCTTCCCGCGGCGCGTCGCCCCGACGACCGCCTCATCTTCCCCGCTGCTGCCGCTGCCTCCTCCGTGCTCTTGGGTCGCGAGGTCGCGGCGCCGCGAGGCGGCTTTGAGGCGAGGCGACTCATCGTCGAGACTCCGTCCGGGGTCTGCGATCGCGGCGGCTGCTGCGGCGGCAGCGCGCCCGACGGACTGCCGTTGGTCGGGGTGTGGAATGGAGACAACGGCGCCGCATTGGCGCCACCTGGCGGGTGGTACGTGCCTCCTGCAATGGAAGACGGAATCGCGGAATTATACAAACTAGAAAAAACCTTGAAAAAAAGCTATTCGAGGACCGAATCGCGCGTGAAATGCGTTTAACCGCATTCTAACCTTACATTCAAGCGACTTTTTAGTGCCGGGCGCAATACACTCCTCCAGAAATCGTCTCGAAAAGAAGAGCCGCACGATTTATGCGATTTGGGTCGCCTCGATTACGCTGGCCGGGGGTTCAAGACCCGAGACTCGGGGGTAAAGGGAGAGGAAGAGAGACTTGGGGGGAAAAGGACAGGGGAGGCAGAAACTATGCGAGAAAGGGAGAGGGGCTGAGACTCGGCGGGAAGAGAGAGGGTGGACACTCGCGTCTCACCTGAGTGCGTGAGCGTCGAGGGAGCGGAGACGGTCGCCGGGGGAAGGTTCGCGAACGTTCCCTGCTCACGCTCCTTCTGCAGCCGTCGCTTAGCAACCTGCAGCTGATGCTCCTTCTCCATGTCTCGCTCCGTGATCTTGATTCGCGTCGCCTGCAATGCGTGACATCGCGCGCGTGAGTGACAATGATAATGATGATAATAATAATAACTAGAGCACTCGGAGAGCACTCATGTTGTCTCGTGTTGCTGCAGTCTGCGGAGGTTGAGGCGAAGAAGCAAGCTAAGATCTCACGGGAGGCTAGGCTCGATCAACGGCGTCTGCTGACGTCGTACGCGAACGAAATCAACCCCGACTCAGACCTGCTCAAGTTCAACCAACTGAAGGTGAGAAGCCGTGTAACAACATAGCTGCATACAACAACAACATGCAACATGCAGCAATATAACGTGCAACATACAATATGCAATGTACAACATGCAACTTACAACGTTCAACATACGACATTCAATATACAACATGCAACATACAACATGCAACTTACAACATTCAGCATACAATATGCAACATACAACATTCAACATACAATATGCAACTTACAACGTGCAACATATAACATACAACTGCTCTGTACGGTATCTGAGTGATACTGTCTGATCTCTGCTTGATGTTGTAATGTAGCTATCTGATACTGTCGACTGTGTACACTATGACACACTGTTTACTATGAGATACTGTCAGGCATGTACTTGACGCTGTGTTTACTCTGTGATATTCTCAGGTAGCTGCACTGTACGACTACTCAGTGATACTACCGGCTGTTACACAACTTACTTGACACATATATATATATATATCAAGAGCGTATAAAGAAGGAGAGCGTACAACGGTGAAATGCTGAAACCATGCTGCAGTATTAGTCGAATTAATAAACTTTCCCCGTTGTATTTTGACGATTCTTTGTGGTATTATTGATCAGCTGTCCTACCTTGCTAATATAAAACAAACCGCTTGTAGGAAACAAGGTAGGACAGCTGATCAATGATACTGCAAAGAATCGTCAAAATAAAACGGGGAAAGTTTATTAATTCGACTAATACTGCAACATGGTTTCAGCATTTTACCGTTGTACGCTCTCAATTAATTAATTAATTAATTGGATCCGGATCACCACCAAAATCTAATCAGTTCTAAGTTAGCCCATTTCTGACCTATCCTGGAAATTTTATGACAATCCGTCCCTAACTTTTTCAGTTAGGCTGTACACAAGTAAACCCACAAACCAACAAACACGCCGAACAAACACACGCCGGTGAAAACATAACCTCCTGCCAACCTTTTGGCGGAGGTAACAATAGTAATAATAACAGGAGGCTATCAATAGGAGTAAGACAGACTGAAACCGGCAAAATTCAACATTTAGTTGCCTTAGTCTACCTATGATTTATTGTGTTTAACTCGATAAACTTGAGCTCAAATCTTACCTTAATCATTAAACTAATGCCGTGTCTAATCGTTGGTCTCACAAAAATGACAAATCGGGAGATATCGGTCCAAACGTACAATGTGGTTTTTGAAAGTTATACCGCAATTTCAACAACTGTGAACCGAAACATAAGGGCAATGCTTTTGAAAGCCCTCTATCGCTTAGCAATGCAAACATAGCAAACAACTAGCGAGGTTTGCCAAGGATTTCGGAAAGTTAAACACGCCTTGTTGTTATTATAGGCTATGTCGAATGACAGTAATTACATGTTGTGAACAATATTGTTAAGAAAAAATAAAATGGATAAAAAAACTAAACATGTGAAATTTTTTATTTCTAATGTAAATAGTATCAATAACACCAAGTCGTGTTTAACTTTCCGAAATCTCTGGCAAACCTCGCTAGTTGTTTGCTATGTTTGCATTGCTAAGCAATAGAGGGCTTTCAAAAGCATTGCCCTTATGTTTCGGTTCACAGTTGTTAAAAATGCGGTATAACTTTCAAAAACCACATTGTACGTTTGGACCGATATCTCCCGATTTGTTATTTTTGTGAGACCAACGATTAGACACGGCATTAGTTTAATGATTAAGGTAAGATTTGAGCTCAAGTTTATCGAGTTAAACACAATAAATCATAGGTAGACTAAGGCAACTAAATGTTGAATTTTGCCGGTTTCAGTCTGTCTTAATCCTATTGATAGACTCCTGATAATAATAGGACTGTTGTATTTCTTAGTAGTTCTGGTCAACAGACTTGCAAGCAGAGTGAATATGAATGTATCAAGAGCATATAAAGAAGGAGAGCGTACAACGGTAAAATGCTGAAACCATGTTGCAGTAGTAGTCGATTATTAATAAGCTTTCCCCGTTTCATTTTGACGATTCTTTGCAGTATTATTGATCAGCTGTCCTACCTTGTTCATATAAAACAAACCGCATGTCCCTACGATGCCCCTACGCTGAGATAATGAGCGGTGAAAATCTGGTATTTTTGCCGAAAACTGACTCGAGATCAGTCAGTTACTGTGGTGTAACTTCGGTAAACCTCGCGTGTTTCCGTCAATGATTGACAAATTGAATGAATGAGGTCAGTTATTGATTGCCATAGTGATGACCCCCACCTGTGCCCACCTCACGCCCACCTCACGCTGGATGTATAGTAAACTCTGGTAGTAGCGAGTAAACTGACGTGAGTTAGCGCCACTATGGCGCTACACAGCGGCGACCGGAAGCAACACACTGGCCACACTTCCAGAGTGGGTCGCAGTACTGACTAATGTCTAGTCGGTGTTCAGCGAAAATACCAGATTTTCGCCGCTCATTATCTCAGCGTATGGGACATGCGGTTTGTTTTATATGAACAAGGTAGGACAGCTGATCAATAATACTGCAAAGAATCGTCAAAATAACACTGGGGAAGTTTATTAATTAGACTAATACTGCAACATGGTTTCAGCATTTTACCGTTGTACGCTCGCCTTCTTTATATGCTCTTGAATGTATCTATGAGTAAGAGTATGAGGTGGCACGCCGATTTTTTGTCGAGAAAAATGGTAATTGTACGACAATGAAAAAACCTAGGACGTTTCGTCATGAGACTACGACTGGTTTTGCCCTATCATAAGCTGCCATAACTTTTCAACTCAATAATAATGATAACGACGATGATGATGATGATGATGATGATGATGATGATAATAATAATAATAATAATAATAATAATGATGATGATGATGATGATAATAATAATAATAATAATAATAAAAATAATTGTACTGTTGTACTCAGTGCTTCTAGTTAACAGACAGGCAATAGTAAGAGCACAGTAACTACGGCAGTGTCTACGAACACATCTATGAATGACTTCGTCGTACCTCGAATGCGAGGTAGTCCTCCTGCATGTACTCCTGGTCGACGTTGCGCAGTCGATCGAGCGTCTCGTCCATGTCAGGACACTGCTTCAGCTGCTCAGGTCGGCCCAGCATGCTCTTCAACAACACCAGCGCCACCTTGAACATCACCTTGACGCCTGCAAATTATTTTACATATTTTCGATAAATATATTGTTGAGAGAAGAGAGAGAGAGAGAGAGAGAGAGAGAGAGAGAGAGAGAGAGAGAGAGAGAGAGAGAGAGAGAGAGAGAGAGAGAGAGAGA